GATATGGAGTTAGAATATGGTGGACATGCAGTTAGAATATGGTGGACATGGAGTTAGAATATGGTGGATATATGGAGTTAGATTTTGGTGGATATGGAGTTAGAATGTTAGAATATGGTGGATATGGAGTTAGAATATGGTGGATATGGAGTTAGAATATGGTGGATATGGAGTTAGAATGTTAGAATATGGTGGATATGGAGTTAGAATATGGTGGATATGGAGTTAGAATATGATGGATATGGAGTTAGAATATGGTGAATATGGAGTTAGAATATGGTGAATATATATGGGTTTAGAATGTTAGAATATGGTGGATATATGGAGTTAGAATTTTAGAATATGGTGGATATGGAGTTAGAATATGGTGGATAAATTGTTAGAATATGGTAGATATATGGATTTAAATATGGTAGATATATGGACTTAGAATATGGTGGATTTATGGAGTTAGAATGTTAGAATATGGTGGATATGGAGTTAGAATATGGTGGATATGGAGTTAGAATATGGTGGATATGGAGTTAGAATATGGTGGATATGGAGTTAAATATGGTGGATATGGAGTTAGAATATGGTGGATATGGAGTTAGAATATGGTGGATATGGAGTTAGAATATGGTGGATATGGAGTTAGAATATGGTGGATATGTGGATTTAGAATATGGTAGATATATGGTGGATATGGAGTTAGAATATGGTGGATATGGAGTTAGGATATGGTGGGATATGGAGTTAGGATATGGTGGATATGGAGTTAGGATATGGTGGATATATGGAGTTAGAATATGGTGGATATATGGGAGTTAGAATATGCCTGGATATGGAGTTAGAATATGGTGGACATGCAGTTAGAATATGGTGGACATGGAGTTAGAATATGGTGGATATATTGGAGTTAGATTTTGGTGGATATGGAGTTAGAATGTTAGGATATGGTGGATATGGAGTTCGAATATGGTGTGTATATGGTGTTAGAATATGGTGGATATGGAGTTAGAATATGGGGATATGGAGTTAGAATATGGTGGATATGGAGTTAGAATATGGTGGATATGGGTTAGGAATATGGTGGGTTATATGGATTTAGAATGTTAGAATATGGAGTTAGAATATGGTGGATATATCGAGTTAGAATATGGTGGATATATGGAGGTTAGAATATGGTGGATGTATGGAGTTAGAATGTTACAATATAATGGATGTATGGAGTTAGAATGTTAGAATATGGTGGATATATGGATTTAGAATATGGTGGATTTATGGAGTTAGAATATGGTGGATATGGAGTTAGGATGTGGTGGATATGGAGTTAGAATATGATGGATATGGAGTTAAAATGTATGAATATGGTGGATATATGGAGTTTAGAATATGGTGGATAATTGTTAGAATATGGTAGATATATGGATTTAGAATATAGTGGATATATGGAGGTTAGAATATGGTGGATATGGAGTTAGAATGTTAGAATATGGTGGATATGGAGATAGAATGGTGGATATGGAGTAGTTAGAATATGGTGGGATATGGAGTTAGAATATGGTGGATATGGAGTTAGAATATGGTGGATATGATGTTAGAATATGGTGGATATGGAGTTAGAATGTTAGAATATGGAGTTAGAATATGGTGGATATGGAGTTAGAATATGCTGGATATGGAGTTAGAATATGCTGGATATGGAGTTAGAATATGCTGGATATGGAGTTAGAATATGCTGGATATGGAGTTAGAATATGCGGATAGGAGTTTAGAATATGCTGGATATGGGTTAGAATATGCTGGATATGGAGTTAGAATATGCTGGATATGGAGTTAGAAGATGGTGGATATGGAGTTAGAATATGGTGGATATGGAGTAGATAATTGGTGGATATGGAGTTAGAATATGGTGGATATGGAGTTAGAATATGGTGGATATGGAGTTAGAATATGGTTGTATATATGGATTTAGAATGTTTAGAATATGGTGGATATATGGAGTTAGAATTTTAGAATATGGTGGATATATGGAGTTAGAATTTTAGGATATGGAGTTAGAATATGGTGGATATATGGAGTTAGAATATGGTGGATATGGAGTTAGAATGTTAGAATATGGTGGATATGGAGTTAGAATATGGTGTATAGGAGTTAGAATATGGTTTGTATATGGAGTTAGAATATGGTGGATATGGAGTTAGAATATGGTGGATATGGAGTTAGAATATGGTGGATATGGAGTTAGAATATGGTGGATATGGAGTTAGAATATGGTGGATATGGAGTTAGAATATGGTGGATATATGGATTTAGAATGTTAGAATATGGTGGATATATGGAGTTAGAATGTTAGAATATGGGTGGACATATGGACTTAGAATATGGTGGATATGGAGTTAGAATATGCTGGATGTATGGAGTTAGTATTTTAGAATATGGTGGAAATGGAGTTAGAATATGGCGGATCTATGGAGTTAGAATATGGTGGATAAATTGTAGAAATATGGTAGATATATGGATTTATAATATGGTGGATATATGGAGTTAGAATATGGTGGACTATGGAGTTAGATGTTAGAATATGGTGTATATGGAGTTAGAATATGGTGTATATGGAGTTAGAATATGGTGGATATGGAGTTAGAATATGGTGGATATGGAGTTAGAATATGGTGGATATGGAGTTAGAATATGGTGGATATATGGAGTTAGAATGTTAGAATATGGTGGATATGGAGTTAGAATATGGTGTTATATGGAGTTAGAATATGGTGGATATATGGATTTAGAATGTTAGAATATGGAGTTAGAATATTGTGGATAAATTGTTAGAATATGGTGGATATACGGAGTTAGAATGTTAGAATATGGTGGATATATCGAGTTAGAATATGGTGGATATGGAGTTAGAATATGGTGGATATGGAGTTAAAATGTATGAATATGGTGGATATATGGAGTTAGAATGTATGAATATGGTGGATATATGGAGTTAGAATGTGGTGGATATGGTGGACATGGAGTTAGAATATGGTGGATATGAAGTTAGAATATGATTGATATGGAGTTAGAATATGGTGGATATGGAGTTTGGATATGGACTTAGAATATGGTGGATATGGACTTAGAATATGGTGGATATGGACTTAGAATATGGTGGATATGGAGTTAGAATATGGTGGATATGGAGTTAGAATATGGTGGATATGGAGTTAGAATATGGTGGATATGGAGTTAGAATATGGTGGATATGGAGTTAGAATGTATGAATATGGTGGATATGGAGTTAGAATGTATGAATATGGTGGATATGGAGTTAGAATATGGTGGATATGGAGTTAGAATATGGTGGATATGGAGTTAGAATATGGTGGATATGGAGTTAGAATATGGTGGATATGGAGTTAGAATATGGTGGATATGGGTTAGAATATGGTGGATATGGGTTAGAATATGGTGGATATCTGGAGTTAGAATATGCTGGATGTATGGAGTTTAGATATGCTGGATGTATGGAGTTAGAATGTTACAATATGATGGACGTATGGAGTTAGAATATGGTGCATATGGAGTTAGAATATGGTGGATATGGAGTTAGAATATGGTGGATATGGAGTTAAAATGTATGAATATGGTGGATATGAAGTAAGAATATGGTGGATATGGAGTGAGATATGGTGGATATGGAGTTAGAATATGGGGGATATGGAGTTAGAAGTAAAGTTAGGAAGATGGTGGCGATGGAGTTAGAATATGGTGGATATATAGGATTAGAATATGGTGAATATGGAGTTAGATATGGTGAATATATATGGGTTTAGAATGTTAGAATATGGTTGATATATGGAGTTAGAATTTTAGAATATGGTGGATATGGAGTTAGAATATGGTGGAGTAAATTGTTAGAATATGGGTAGATATATGGATTTAAATATGGTAGATATATGGATTTAGAATATGGTGGATATGGAGTTAGAATATGGTGGATATGGAGTTAGAATATGGTGGATATATGGATTTAGCATATGGTAGATATATGGATTTAGAATATGGTGGATATGGAGTTAGAATGTTAGAATATGGTGGATATGAAGTTAGAATATGGTGGATGTATGGAGGTAGAATGTTACAATATAATGGATGTATGGAGTTAGAATGTTAGAATATGGTGGATATGGAGTTCGAATATGGTGGATATGGAGTTAGAATATGGTGGATATGGAGTTAGAATATGGTGGATATGGAGTTAGAATATGGTTGATAAATTGTTAGAATATGGTAGATATATGGATTTAGAATATATAGGATATATGGAGTTAGAATATGGTGGATATGGAGTTAGAATATGGTGGATATGGAGTTAAAATGTATGAATATGGTGGATATATGGAGTTAGAATATGGTGGATATATGGATTTAGAATGTTAGAATATGGTGGATATGGAGTTAGAATATGGTGTATATGGAGTTAGAATATGGTGTATATGGAGTTAGAATATGGTGGATATGAGTTTAGAAATATGGGGATAGGGAGTTAGAATATGGTGGATAGGAGTTAGAATATGGTGGATATGGAGTTAGAATATGGTGGATATATGGAGTTAGAATTTGGTGGATATATCGATTTAGAATGTTTGAAATATGGATTTAGAATGTTTGAAATATGGTGGATAAATATGGAATTAGGATGTTAGAATATGGTGGATATATAGAGTTAGAATATGGTGGATATATAGAGTTAGAAAATGGTGGATATGGAGTTAGAATATGGTGGATATATGGAGTTAGAATATGGTGGATATATGGAGTTAGAATATGGTGGATATATGGAGTTAGAATATGGTGGATATATGGAGTTAGAATATGGTGGATATATGGAGTTAGAATGTTAGAATTTGGTGGATATGGAGTTAGAATTTGGTGGATATGGAGTTAGAATTTGGTGGATATGGAGTTAGAATATGGTGGATAAATAGTTAGAATATGTTGGATATATGGAGTTATAATGTTAGAATATGGTGGATAAATATGGAATTAGGATGTTCGAATATGGTGGATATATGGAGTTAGAATATGGTGAATATATGGAGTGAGAATGTTGGAATATGGATTTAGAAGGCAAAATAATATGCATATTCTGACTACTGTCTCTTCCTCTCCAGGTCGCTATGGTTTCTCTCACCAGGGCGGAGACGGATCATTGCCCATGAATGGTATGGACATTTTATATTTTGCTTCAATGCTATAAAGTTTATAGCTTTTTTCAGCCATTCACAATAGAGGTAGTAAATTGGATGCAATTGTTCATGGGGTGTACATTATGTTGTAACCCTGTGCTGTTAAGAGTTGTTATGAAGGTTTTTGTCTTGTTTTACATGCAGCTAGGAGCTATGGCAGAAGACGAGGTAAAGCCAAACCCCAAATGTCTTCATGTTTTAGCCTACATCATGTTTTAGCCTACATCATGTCATTATTTGCAAAGCATCCATTACACAGTACATGCTGTCTGTCTGGTTTGGCCTCGCTATGTCTGAAATGGCACCCAGGTGGAATAGGGTGCCATTTCAGATGCAACTGTTCTCTAGGCCCCGACTGAACCTGCAGAGGAAGACTTCTTAAGTCCCCAGGGAGGATTTGAAATTAATATATTTTTTAAACATCACAATAAAATGTATGAATTCAATCCAAATACTATAAAGTATGGTAGAGTTCCAGGTCGTCTTTATTGCAGTCGTGCTGACTGACCGTCTCACAGATTGCAATAGTAATCCAAACAAATCAAATGTTATTTGTCACATACACGTGTTGTTGCGGGTGTAGCTAAATGCTTGTGCTTCTAGCTCCGACAGTGCAGTAATATCTAACAAGTAATATCTAACAATTTCACAACATATACCCAATACACACAAATCTAAGTAAGGAATGGAATTTAATATATACATACAGTGGGGAGAACAAGTATTTGATACACTGCCCATTTTGCAGGTTTTCCTACTTACAAAGCATGTAGAGGTCTGTAATTTTTATCATAGGTACACTTCAACTGTGAGACGGAATCTAAAACAAAAATCCAGAAAATCACATTGTATGATTTTTAGGTAATTCATTTGCATTTTATTGCATGACATAAGTATTTGATACATCAGAAATGCAGAACTTAATATTTGGTACAGAAACCTTTGTTTGCAATTAGAGATCATACGTTTCCTGTAGGTCTTGACCAGGTTTGCACACACTGCAGCAGGGATTTTGGCCCACTCCTCCATACAGACCTTCTCCAGATCCTTCAGGTTTCGGGGCTGTCGCTGGGCAATACGGACTTTCAGCTGCCTCCAAAGATGTTCTATTGGGTTCAGGTCTGGAGACTGGCTAGGCCACTCCAGGACCTTGAGATGCTTCTTACGGAGCCACTCCTTAGTTGCCCTGGCTGTGTGTTTCGGGTCGATGTCATGCTGGAAGACCCAGCCACGACCCATCTTCAATGCTCTTACTGAGGGAAGGAGGTTGTTGGCCAAGATCTCGCGATACATGGCCCTATCCATCCTCCCCTTAATACGGTGCAGTCGTTCTGTCCCCTTTGCAGAAAAGCATCCCCAAAGAATGATGTTTCCACCTCCATGCTTCACGGTTGGGATGGTGTTCTTGGGGTTGTGCTCATCCTTCTTCTTCCTCCAAACACGGCGAGTGGAGTTTAGACCAAAAAGCTCTATTTTTGTCTCATCAGACCACATGACCTTCTCCCATTTCTCCTCTGGATCATCCAGATGGTCATTGGAAAACTTCAGACGGGCCTGGACATGCGCTGACTTGAGCAGGGGGACCTTGCGTGCGCTGCAGGATTTTAATCCATGACGGCGTAGTGTGTTACTAATGGTTTTCTTTGAGACTGTGGTCCCAGCTCTCTTCAGGTCATTGACCAGGTCCTGCCGTGTAGTTCTGGGCTGATCCCTCACCTTCCTCATGATCATTGATGCCCCACAAGGTGAGATCTTGCATGGAGCCCCAGACCGAGGGTGATTGACCGTCATCTTGAACTTCTTCCATTTTCTAATAATTGCGCCAACAGTTGTTGCCTTCTCACTAAGATGCTTGCCTATTGTCCTGTATCTCATCCCAGCCTTGTGCAGGTCTACAATTGTATCCCTGATGTCCTTACACAGCTCTCTGGTCTTGGCCATTGTGGAGAGGTTGGAGTCTGTTTGATTGAGTGTGTGGACAGGTGTCTTTTATACAGGTAACGAGTTCAAACAGGTGCAGTTAATACAGGTAATGAGTGGAGAACTGGAGGGCTTCTTAAAGAAAAACGAACAGGTCTGTGAGAGATGGAATTCTTACTGGTTGGTAGGTGATCAAATACTTATGTCATGCAATAAAATGCAAATGTATTACTTGAAAATCATACCATGTGATTTTCTGGATTCCGTCTCTCACAGTTGAAGTGTACGTATGATAAAAATTACAGACCTCTACATGCTTTGTAAGTAGGAAAACCTGCAAAATCGGCAGTGTATCAAATACTTGTTCTCCCCACTGTATATGAACAAGCAATGACAGAGCGGCATGGACTAAGATGCAGTAGAATATTATAGAATACAGTATATGGGTTGAAATGATCTGATACCAGATTAGATGGGTTGAAATGATCTGATACCAGATTACTTTAGAAAAATGGCATTCACTGATCAGATCAAATGACGACATAAGAGCATTGTGTTGAACACTGTGCAATGTTTAAAAGTGAGAACCGCAGAAGGGCGAAGGTACTAAATGACTAGAGTTGACTGTGTGATATAAGGTTGCTTCTTGTGTCAATATTTTTAGCTGGTTTTGTTGAGATGAGATGGGTAATGCAAGATATGTAAACATTATTAAAGTCACTAGTGTTCCATTTCTTAAAGTGGCCAGTGATTTCAAGTGGCAGCAGCAGCCTCTAATGTGCTAGTGATGGCTATTTAACAGTCTGATGGCCTTGAGATAGAAGCTGTATTACATTCTCTCTGTCCCAGCTTTGATGCACCTGTACTGACCTCACCTTCTGGATGATAGTGGGATGAACAGGCAGTGGCTCGGGTGGTTCATGTCCTTGATTATCTTTTTGGCCTTCCTGTGACATCGGGTGCTGTTGGTGTCCTGGAGGGTGGGTAGTTTGCCCCCGGTAATGCGTTCTGCAGACCGCACCACCCTCTGGAGAGCCCTGCGGTTGCGGGTGGTGCAGTTTCCGTACCAGGCGGTGAAACAGCCCGACAGGATGCTCTCAATTGTGCAGCTGTAAAAGTTTGTGAGGGTTTTAGGTGCCAAGCCAAAGAGGCTCTGTTGCGCCTTCTTCACCACACTGTCTGCGTGGGTGGACCATTTCAGTTTGTCAGTGATGTGTACGCCAAGGAACTTGAAGCTTTCCACCACCCTCTGCTGTTTCCTGAAGTCCATGATCATCTCCTTTGTTTTGTTGACGTTGAGTGAGAGGTTATTTTCCTGGCACCACACTCCCAGAGCCCTCACCTCCTCCCTGTAGGCTGTCTCGTCATTGTTGGTAATCAAGCCTACTACTGTTGTCGTCTGCAAACTTGATGATTGAGTTGGAAGGCATGCTTGGCCACACAGTCATGGGTGAACAGGGAGTACAGGAGGGGGCTGAGCACACACCCTTGTGGAGCCTCAGTGTTGAGGATCAGCGAAGTGGTGATGTTGTTTCCTACCTTCACCACCTGGGGCGGCCCGTCAGGAATCCAGGACCCAGTTGCACAGGGCGGTGTTCAGATCCAGGGCCTCGAGCTTAATGATGAGCTTGGAGGGTACTATGGTGTTGAATTCTGAGCTATAGTCAATGAACAGCATTCTTACATAGGTATTCCTCTTGTCCAGATGGGATAGGGCAGTGTGATGGCGATTGCATCGTCTGTGGATCTATTGGGACGGTAAGCAAATTGAAGTGGGTCTAGGGTGACAGGTAAGGTAGAGGTGATATGATCCTTGACTAGTCTCTCAAAGCACTTCATGATGACAGAGGTGAGTGCTACAGGGCGATAGTCATTTAGTTCAGTTACCTTTGCTTTCTTAGGTACAGGAACAATGGTGGCCATCTTGAAGCATGTGGGGACAGCAGACTGAGATAGGGAGAGATTGAATATGTCCGTAAACACACCAGCCAGCTGGTCTGCGCATGCTCTGAGGACGCGGCTAAGGATGCCGTCTGGGCCGGCAGCCTTGTGGGGGTTAACATGCTTAAATGTCTTACTCGTATAACGTTCAACGCTTGTGTTTGTTGTGAGGTGTGATCATCTGTGCAGCGCGACAGCAAAAAAATATGACCTGACATGATTGTATACTGCCTGTTTCCTGCTGTGCTTTTGTGACCTGGCTGTGGTGGCTTGTCACTGGACTTTAGCAAAACGTTATGTTGCAAGTGCTTGAGGAAATCATGGTTGGTTTCATGATCATGGTTCTTTTTTGTCTTCATCACAATGAAAAATAAATCCCTCATTTGAGTTATTTTGATTCCAATCAATGTATCGCAATTGAAGAACCTATTTCAGAATTTTATTGTAAGTGTATTTATTTGGATACAATCTTACCCTTTTTCCACGACTGAGTCAAACAGAGCTGAGCCAAGCTGTACTGAGCTGGCCTGGTTAATCCCAAACTGTACTGAGCTGGCCTGGTTAAACCCAAGCTGTACTGAGCTGGCCTGGTTAAACCTGAGCTGGCCTGGTTAAACCAAAGCTGGACTGAGCTGGCCTGGTTAAACCAAAGCTGGACTGAGCTGGCCTGGTTAATCCCAAGCTGGACTGAGCTGGCCTGGTTAAACCCAAGCTGTACTGAGCTGGCCTGGTTAAACATTCACAATAATTGCTGGAAGGGACAATGTGAAAATTAAATATTGGAGCCAGCACAGTACGGTTTGAAGAGGAAAATGTATAACCTCAAATGGGTGCTAAGTGGCATAAAAAGTTCAGGCACTTGCATGGGTTTGAAAGTTTAAAAGCCTTTAATGTATGGGCTAAGACATTAAAATACACCAATGCATGTCGGCTTACGTCTTCATCAGGGTGTCTGGGTTAGTACGTTTTGGGTTGGCCTGATGGTGTGAAATAAGTATCTCATCTCCACTGATTTCTCTCTCTCCGCCCTCCAGGTCACAGTAACCTGTTCCCCATGGAGGACGAGCGCTCCTTCGGAGAGGACGAGTCAGGTGACCAGGGACTTCCTGGTTTAGGATCCGCCCACTGTTTCCCGCACCTCAACGGAGAGCGAGTGGAGAGATACTCACGCAAGGTGTTTGTCGGAGGACTGCCACCCGATATAGACGAAGGTATTGATCGATTAACAGAATAATACACCTTCTACAATGTTGTTCTTGGGTTAAAAACAATGGTTTGAGAGGTGTCTGTGTTTTCTATGTTAATGGCCCCGACATATGATGTCATAGAGGCTTAGAGGCTGTGTACTAAAGAGCCTGTGTACAGTGGGGGGAAAAAAGTATTTAGTCAGCCACCAATTGTGCAAGTTCTCCCACTTAAAAAGATGAGAGGCCTGTAATTTTCATCATAGGTACACGTCAACTATGACAGACAAAATGAGATTTCTTTTTCCAGAAAATCACATTGTAGGATTTTTTATGCATTTTTTTGCAAATTATGGTGGAAAATAAGTATTTGGTCAATAACAAAAGTTTCTCAATACTTTGTTGGCAATGACACAGGTCAAACGTTTTCTGTAAGTCTTCACAAGGTTTTCACACACTGTTGCTGGTATTTTGGACCATTCCTCCATGCAGATCTCCTCTAGAGCAGTGATGTTTTGGGGCTGTCGCTGGGCAACACAAACTTTCAACTCCCTCCAAAGATTTTCTATGGGGTTGAGATCTGGAGACTGGCTAGGCCACTCCAGGACCTTGAAATGCTTCTTACGAAGCCACTCCTTCGTTGCCCGGGCGGTGTGTTTGGGATCATTGTCATGCTGAAAGACCCAGCCACGTTTCATCTTCAAAGCCCTTGCTGATGGAAGGAGGTTTTCACTCAAAATCTCATGATACATGGCCCCATTCATTCTTTCCTTTACACTGATCAGTCGTCCTGGTCCCTTTGCAGAAAAACAGCCCCAAAGCATGATGTTTCCACCCCCATGCTTCACAGTAGGTATGGTGTTCTTTTAATGCAACTCAGCATTCTTTGTCCTCCAAACACGACGAGTTGAGTTTTTACCAAAAAGTTATATTTTGGTTTTATCTGACCATATGACATTCTCCCAATCCTCTTCTGGATCATCCAAATGCACTCTAGCAAACTTCAGACGGGCCTGGACATGTACTGGCTTAAGCAGGGGGACACGTCTGGCACTGCAGGATTTGAGTCCCTGGCGGCGTAGTGTGTTACTGATGGTAGGCTTTGTTACTTTGGTCCCAGCTCTCTGCAGGTCATTCACTAGGTCCACCCGTGTGGTTCTGGGATTTTTGCTCACCGTTCTTGTGATCATTTTGACCCCACGGGGTGAGATCTTGCGTGGAGCCCCAGATCGAGGGAGATTATCAGTGGTCTTGTATGTCTTCCATTTCCTAATAATTGCTCCCACAGTTGATTTCTTCAAACCAAGCTGCTTACCTATTGCAGATTCAGTCTTCCCAGCCTGGTGCAGGTCTACAATTTTGTTTCTGGTGTCCTTTGACAGCTCTTTGGTCTTGGCCATAGTGGAGTTTGGAGTGTGACTGTTTGAGGTTGTGGACAGGTGTCTTTTATAATAATAACAAGTTCAAACAGGTGCCATTAATACAGGTAATGAGTGGAGGACAGAGGAGCCTCTTAAAGAAGAAGTTACAGGTCTGTGAGAGCCAGAAATCTTGCTTGTTTGTAGGTGACCAAATACTTATTTTCCACCATAATTTGCAAATAAATTCATTAAAAATCCTACAATGTGATTTTCTGGATTTAGTTTTCTCAATTTGTCTGTCATAGTTGACGTGTACCTATGATGAAAATTACAGGCCTCATCTTTTTAAGTGGGAGAACTTGCACAATTGGTGGCTGACTAAATACTTTTTTTCCCCACTGTAGCTGACTAGCTTTGACTCTTTCATTCTCAGATGAGATCACCGCCAGTTTCCGCCGGTTCGGTCACCTGTTTGTCGATTGGCCCCACAAGGCTGAGAGCAAGTCCTATTTCCCACCCAAAGGTGAGTCTGATATGGTCACATTGGCCAGGAAATACTCAGGGCATAGGAATGAAGGGAATAGTCAGGGCATAGGAATGAAGGGAATACTCAGGGCCCTAGGAATAAAGGGAATACTCAGGGCCCTAGGAATGAAGGGAATACTCAGGGCCCTAGGAATGAAGGGAAATAGATGAAGGTCATGAGAGTATTGAGCGCGTTCTTTCCCCTCTCTAGGTTATGCATTCTTACTGTTCCAAGACGAGAGCTCTGTCCAGGCTCTGATTGATGCCTGTATCGAAGAGGATGGCAAGCTCTACCTCTGTGTCTCCAGCCCCACCATCAAGGACAAGCCTGTGAGTGGAGCTTTACGTCTGTGTCTGTGTGTGTGTGTGTGTGTCTGTCTCACACGAGCCAGTCCAACTGTTTGAGTCTCCCAGGCAGTATTTAAAAATGTTTTTCACTGTAATTAAACTTCTTGGTGGGAGTTGTCTGTCCTCCTTGTCAGTCTAGCGCTGCTGGTATAAATAGTTGTGAGATCTCCCCAGTCCACTCACCTAGTTCAGCCCAGTCCACTCACCTAGTTCAGCTCAGTACACTCTCCTAGTTCAGCCCAGTCCACTCTCCTAGTTCAGCCCAGTCCTCTCTCCTAGTTCAGCCCAGTCCTCTCTCCTAGTTCAGCCCAGTCCTCTCTCCTAGTTCAGCCCAGTCCTCTCTCCTAGTTCAGCCCAGTCCTCTCTCCTAGTTCAGCCCAGTCCTCTCTCCTAGTTCAGCCCAGTCCTCTCTCCTAGTTCAGCCCAGTCCTCTCTCCTAGTTCAGCCCAGTCCTCTCACCTAGTTCAGCCCAGTCCTCTCACCTAGTTCAGCCCAGTCCTCTCACCTAGTTCAGCCCAGTCCTCTCTCCTAGTTCAGCCCATCCTCTCTCCTAGTTCAGCCCAGTCCTCTCTCCTAGTTCAGCCCAGTCCTCTCACCTAGTTCAGCCCAGTCCTCTCACCTAGTTCAGCCCAGTCCTCTCACCTAGTTCAGCCCAGTCCTCTCACCTAGTTCAGCCCAGTCCTCTCTCCTAGTTCAGCCCAGTCATCTCACGTAGTTCACATCTAGTTGTATGGACATTGAAAGATTATTTTACAGACGTTATATGGAATTTGTTACAGCCTTTTATAGATGTTGGTTGAGCGTTATATGGGTGTTATCTGAACATTGTCTGGCCATTCCTCTGTGTTCCTCTAGGTCCAGATCCGTCCCTGGAATCTGAATGACAGTGACTTTGTGATGGACGGCTCTCAGCCTCTGGACCCCAGGAAGACCATCTTCGTAGGGGGGGTGCCACGTCCTCTACGTGCAGGTACTGGACTGGGGTTTTATGTGTGAGGAATGGGGGGGAGATGCGAGAGGAGCCGGGTAAGAGGGTAGGAATGGGGTGAAAGGAGGTAGGGAGCGGAGGAATGTGGGGAGAAAGGGGAGGGAGGTAATGGAGAGGACGGGGGATGGAGAGAGGGATGAGACGGGGGGAGGGAAACGGGGGTGAGGAGTAGGGAGGATGGAACGGGGAGGAGACGGAACGGGGGAGGAGAGGAACGTGGGGAGGAGGATGGGAGACGGGCTGGGGGAGGCAGTAGGGAGAAGGGCGGGGGAGGAGAGGGGAAGAGGGCGGGGGAGGAGAGGGAGAGGGAGAGGACGGCGGGGAGGAGGAGGGTAGAGGACGGGGTGAGGAGATGGGAGAGGGGGGGGGGGGGCCTAGGGTGGGAGGGTGGGGGCCTGACGGGGCCGGGAGAGAGGTCGCATCAAAGGCCATATTGTAATGTCCTTGTTCCAGTGGAGCTGGCCATGATAATGGATCGTCTGTACGGAGGAGTGTGTTACGCTGGCATCGACACAGACCCCGAACTAAAGTACCCTAAAGGAGCGGGGCCGTGTGAGCATTCTCCAATCAGCAGGAGCTACATCGCTTGCTATCAGCGCTCGATTCGTTCAGCTGCAGCACGGCGGAGATCACCAAAAGGGTGTGAGTCAGTTCTGGTCTTTGGTTAGTTTTTTAGCGGAGCCCACATACGCCATGCCATTTTGTCCAGGAGAAGAAGACCTCACGCACACAATAGCTAAGGTACAAAATGGAGCTGGGTATGAGCTTCTCCCCTCTGGTTTCTCTTTTGTCCCATTCAATCTGGGTAAATGTTTAATCTCCCCTCCTTCTCCCCCCTCTCCCCCTTCGGTCCTCCCCCCTCTCCCCCAGGTGGAAGTGAAGCCATACGTGCTGGATGACCAGCTGTGTGATGAGTGCCAGGGGACGCGCTGTGGAGGGAAGTTTGCTCCCTTCTTCTGCGCTAACGTCACCTGTCTCCAGTACTACTGTGAATACTGCTGGGCAGCCATCCACTCCCGGGCCGGACGAGAGTTCCACAAGCCACTGGTCAAGGAGGGGGGAGACCGGCCCCGACACATATCCTTCAGGTGGAACTAGGGAGGGTTGGGAGGGGAGGGTGACGGGCTATGTTGTAGAAAATAAATGCACTTTTATTTTTGCTGGTTCCTATTTAGTTTGGAAAAGAAACTTAAAAACTTAATTTAATCTTTATTATTTTAATCGGAACTTCTTCTCAGACCAGTAAATGCGAAGAAGGACAACTAAGTGAAAGAAATCCCGTTTTGAATTTAAGGTGTGCATGAGTACTTGGATGCGTTATTAGATATGAAAAGAAATGTTTCTTCTGACTTGACTATATTTTATTTTCTCACGTTAGCTAGCGAAGCTGCTTACATTTGTTGTCAAGAGTAACATATAACATTTCAGTGAGGTATGTGCTGCACCTCAATCAGTATATTAACCAGAACAGTTGCGTTTTAGAAGGGTGCACTTATTTTTGTTAATTTGCAGGATTAGATTGATATTTGTATCGTTAACCAAAGGTTGAGAGCAACTGGTCGGGTTAAAGTACAATAGTCAAAGAAAACCACTGCGGAAGGGCAGACTGACCGAGAATTCCCTTCATCATAAATAAACTGTTCAGAGTACATACAGGATTATTTCAGAAAACATTCTCCCCTTGGTCTCGGGCCTGGCAGCGATTACTGGCATGTGTTTCTAGATCATGGTTTAAATTGACTCTTTGTAGCCAAAATGGGCAAACCAAAGATTGGCCTAAAAACAAGTGATCAACGCAAGTTGATTAGCTGAGGGGTATAAGGACTATAAGACTCCATTTTCAGGTTCAGAAGGTCAGGAAGGCTAGTGCTGTTTAAGTTGTTGAATTGCAGAGAGGGGGGAGGAAACAGTCATTGGAAAGACAGGTTTCAGCTGATAAAGACTACAGCCCTAGCTGTCTAGGCAGGGCTCAGGTATTGGCAGTAGTATTAGCTCACTTTATATTGTCAGGGATATTAGCACTGGACGCTAACATGCTAATGTTGTAGTACTAGTAGGAATGCACAGTACAGTGGTAGCTAGCTACAGTGTTCCCTGAGTGACTCATAGTATGTAGCCTGGTCCTGTCCTGTATGTGCTTTAGTGTTTAACCAACTCCTCTGGCTATCGTTGTCCAACTAATTAACACAGAGAGGAGTTGGCTAAAGCACAGACAGACTGGACTACCAGGCTAGACTAATGGTGATCTGATGCACTCTCTCTACCATGACTGGAGTGTAGAGGTAGATCCGAGCTGTGGCGAATGGATACGCTAGTGGATCCTAGCTGTGGAGGATGAATATGTTAGTAGCTGGACACTCTTTGAAGAATTTGCTGTCACAGAGATAAAGATATTATTTTATACATGGCCTGCTAATTTTTGTACAGTGTTTTATAGCTGATTATTTTGTCATGAACATATATACATTTATTATGCACTACTTTTCTAAATATTTTTTTCAATAGTCATTTTAGGCACATTTTTCACAAGATGGGATAACTCCTTTTGCAATACCTCATTTTTTTCACTTGGTGAAAAATAATTTTGTACCTTTGTTACTAAGAGATCTGCATTTATTGTAAAACTTAATTTAAAAAGAAAAAATTAATGATATTAATATAATTTTCAATTTAGCTTTTTATATATTTAAGTGCTGGTAAATTTTAAATTGTCTGGTGCATTGGTGTGATTGTGTAGAGGAAAGATTAACAGCCAGGCTACGGATGGTTAGCCAATCATGTACAGACTTCTCTTTCATAATAATAAACCATAAGTACTGGATCTTAAGGCATGACAAGACCTTTCAGAACTTATTTTGATAGTCTTGAAACATATATTCAGCTTGTAGTGAGTAAGGAAAATCTAGGGGACATCTTTTGACTTGGGTGGATGAGTGAACCCTTATTCTCTTGTATCATCAGAGTGAATGATGACCGGTGTTCTAAAAACTATTTAGATTCTCATTCTGGAACTACCTGAAGGTTCCAGAACGTTCCAGTTATTCTAGGCATGCATGACGTAATACAGAATAACAACATGACTATTGACTAGTGTTAATGCAGGAAACTATTGTAATGCACTAGATCTCTCTCCTTTTTATTTTTGTATGAGTTTTTAGTTTTCTCTTCTCTTTCAGATCACCTCCTAATATCTAGCCTATTTTTCTCTCCAAAGGTCTGCCTCCCTCACAGGCAGGCAGGCGGGCGGGCAGACAGGTGGGCAGGCAGACGGGCAGGCAGACAGACAGACAGACAGGCGGGCGGGCAGGCAGACAGGCGGGCGGGCGGGCAGACAGACAGGCGGGCAGACAGGCGTGCAGACAGACAGGCGGGCAGGCAGACAGACAGGCGGGCAGGCAGACAGACAGACAGGCAGGCAGGCAGACAGGCAGGCAGACAGACAGACAGGCAGACAGACAGACAGGCGGGCAGGCAGACAGACAGACAGACAGGCAGGCAGGCAGACAGACAGACAGACAGGCGGGCAGGCAGACAGACAGACAGACAGACAGGCAGGCAGGCAGGCAGGCAGACAGGCGGGCAGGCAGACAGACAGACAGACAGGCAGGCAGGCAGACAGACAGGCAGGCAGGCAGGCCTGCTGTACATGCAGGATACCACAGTGATAACACTTGTATGAGTTTAGCCATGTAGATGACACTTCTTCCTAAAAGAGACTTGATCACTCCACCCCTTTGATGTGGCATGCTTTGGGACATAGACTTGAATGTGATTAATGTTGCAAGTTAACTTCGAGCCATTATGTGCAATACTTCTTCTTTACTAAAATAGTTTATCTTTCTGCAATGTAAATCATTTAAACCCATATAAACCATGTAAACATTAAAACATGATGATTATTTTCTCACAGTCTATTATTGTTCATGCTGGTGTCTGCAAAGTAAAACAAAAAAGAAACTTTCTACTAATATATATATATAAATAACTGAATTTATTTTTAAACATTAGTTTTGTGCTTATTCAATTATTTTGCTACTACCATGCTACTGTGATTGAGAAAACATTGTATATACTAAGTTGATGTGTTTAGCGTTTTGTTATATTTTCAATTGAAATGTAAAACTTTCATTTGGATCAGATTTTTATATTTTTTGGGGTGATGTGTTGAACTTGTTGATGTCTAGGTTTTCTAATTGCTGTACTGTGCGCCACATTCAGAGGAATAATGTCTGTTAGTATTACTTGATTGCGAAAAATGTCAATAGTTTTTAATGGTATGCTGGGAAGGTTGTATTTATTGATATACCTTTTTTTACTTGAGACATCATCTTGATTTTTATTATGTCATTTCACATTTATGTTACGATTTTTATACCCCCCCCCCCCCCCCCCCCCCCCCCCCCCCCCCCCCCCCCAATTATGTTGTGCTAATAACAGATGTCAGTTTTGATAGTTGGTTTGTAGAACTGAAGTTTAAAAAAAAATACATTATCTAATGTCATCTAATCATTTGCAGCCAACTATTTATAACTGTATGCATATGACATTTGAAGTATTTGTAATGTGAGATGTTGAAAGAATAAAACTCAGCTGTGAGGATACCAGTGGTTGAAGTCAATTTCTTGAGGAAAGTAAGGCATTTGTGTTGCTAGAAGTGTACATGTACTGGAAAAGGAAAAACGTGCACAGGTTATTTTTTATCAGTACATTCCTTTTGAACCCTGCAACCAAATATGAATTACTACAAACTATTGACTCATGCAATCCAATGTCTCATTCTGTTATTAAAAGTGGACACTTAACTCCCCTAATGGATTTAAAAACATTGGATTTATATCAATTACCTCAAGGGAGTTTGTTACCACCATATATGATACATTACACCAGTCCATTCCTTTTTAATCCTTGAAGGGGAGTAAGTGGGGAAAAAAAAAAAAAATGTATGCACTCACTAACTGTAAGTCGCTCTGGATAAGAGCGTCTGCTAAATGACTTAAATGTAAAGTCATGGAGATTGTTCTTCCTCCTCACAACCCCCCCCCCCCCCCCCCCCTTACATTGTTTTGTTCCTCTTTTTAATTGTGTAAAGTGTGTTGTGACCCTTGTTGAATGCACTTTAAATGCATTTGACTTGACTAGAGTGGTAGAGAATTGGGCCACAACCGTTGTGTGTCATGGTGTGACAGACAGAGCAGTGGTTTCTGACACATCTGGCCTGCTGTGCTGAACCAGGTCAGGCAGCGCTGTTTATAGATTCAGGCAGATCCAATCCTCCAGCCCGGACCTTTGGCTCCTGATACCAACAACGACCGATACCTAGAGGTTTGAAAAGTGTATTTGAAAGTGCTGGTCTCAGCAGGCCACTGCAATAGGTGCTATGCAATTTCTGCCAGAAAAACGGTAACGCCCAGAAAAAGACAGCAACGCCACCTTCTGGCAAAGATAAATCATTGCAATGCAGTATGGCAAAGATCTTATTTTCATCAATCCATTTGGTTGGCATTGGCAAATTGTACAAATATTTAGGTCAGCGAGTGACAACACTAATGTTCAAATAAGTGATTAGCAGCTAAATTGAGAATGAAATTATTGTGCGTTCTTGCATTCTCATCGTTCTTGCTTCTCTAACTGGATCAATGGATTGTTTACAGACTGGGCACATGCAACTAATCCTAACTGCTCGAGGTAGGGTACGGTCTGGAGGGACTGTCAGTGTACTGGCCTAGCTAGCCAGCAGCATTTATCTAGCTAATAACTTTAGCTTTAAATTATTGTTGAAAAACAGGCGTAGAAATAAGATGCCAGGTGCTCAGTTCAAGGCTGTTTACTTGCCAAATTTTGGATCTCAATCCTCACGATGTAGTCAAAAAGATGGTCAGCAAACGAAAGAGTACTTGATCAGTTGCCCAGCTCACAGAGAAGACGAGATGCGTTGTCAACGAAAAAGAAGATCAAATTAACGAAGTGTAACAGCAAGCCCGCTCTGTCCAAGAAGAAACGAGAGAACTCTGTTGTTACTTCTCTCTCCTCTCCTCCAGAGCAGTGGGCTGTGTTGGGGACAATTGGGAGGATCCCTCAGTCAGAGCGGTCAGGTTATAAATTGAACTCAGATTGAAGACTAGATTACAATCTGGGATTGATACATAGTTTATGGAATTTCTCTTTCCCTCTCAAACTCAGGAATGGAATAGTTTTCTTTGTTCCCTTAAATGTTACTATGATTTTGTTTTGCCCAAATTTATGGACTACCTGGAAAATGTGCTGATTTGAGATGGAATGAAGATTAAGTTATTTATATGATGTTATTTATGTTACCTGTAACTAAACCTGTACTGTACATCTCCAACAATCTGTTCCTTTAGTTACGTCTTTAATAGACTCTGGTTGAAGAAATTGACTATATGTTGGTTTTGTTTTGATTAGGAACACACAGATTTTGACTGTTGTCATGGGGAAAGAAGAGTTCTCAATTAAAACAACTTCTTGAGGAGAAAGTGTTGTTAATTTCTGTTATGTCTGGTGAGCTATTGCAGGTCAGCCAACCCTCGTGGGGAGCTACTACTGGGTATGAAGGCTGTTGCTACAGCCCTTCTTCCTCATGGAGAACCTCTCCTCTTTTTCCGCTAGAGGGAAGTGTCTCTCTATTTCGTGTGTGTGTGTGTGTGTGTGTGTGTTTGTTAGACAGACAATACTGTACACAAAGCCAACTAAAAGTTGAATACACAGCCACAGCTCAACTTCCTCAGTCAGAGGTTCTCAGTAGAGCCTGGAAGTGTCCTAAATGGCACCCTATTCCCTTTATAGTGCACTACTTTTGGACAGAGCATATGTGTTTCTGTTTCCTGCTCCTTATTAGCTCTATTTATTAGTGAATTAACAACCCACAGCCAACATGTGGTTCTGCTTATCCTAACAGCAAAATAATGGCAGGTGTAATATGCACAATTGACTATGTAAATTGTTGAGCAGTTTCATACTGTTTTGATTTATAGGCATCATTAGCTGTAGTATTAACAGGCCAGTTGTGTTGCCCTGTGTGTCACAACACACAACATGATTATTTTTCTAGAGTTTGGCCTTGTACAGTATACACATGGTACACAGAAAAACAGCTATATTTGATCAACTGACAGAGTCATCTATCTAATCTAGAATATTTTAAATAAGGTATAGTAAATGTTTGGTAAGACATTCAACTACACCTCTCCCTGTATTTCATGGGTCATTTTGTGGGACTCCCACTTACTTTCTCAGCAGCTAAATGTTAAGCAACCACATACCTCTGGTTATTATCTCTCCTTCCGTGTTTCACCGCTTCATGTAATTATTCCCCATTACCTCCTAACTGTCTCTCCTCTAGCTGTAATGATTCCCCATTACCTCCTAACTGTCTCTCCTCTAGCTGTAATGATTCCCCATTACCTCCTAACTGTCTCTCCTCTACCTGTAATGATTCCCCATTACCTCCTAACTGTCTCTCCTCTAGCTGTAATGATTCCCCATTACCTCCTAACTGTCTCTCCTCTACCTGTAATGATTCCCCATTACCTCCTAACTGTCTCTCCTCTAGCTGTAATGATTCCCCATTACCTCCCAACTGTCTCTCCTCTACCTGTAATGATTCCCCATTACCTCCTAACTGTCTCTCCTCTACCTGTAATGATTCCCCATCACCTCCTAACCTTCTCTCCTCTACCTGTATAAGAGTCCCCATTACCTCCTAACTGTCTCTCCTCTACCTGTAATGATTCCCCATTACCTCCTAACTGTCTCTCCTCTAGCTGTAATGATTCCCCATTACCTCCTAACTGTCTCTCCTCTAGCTGTAATGATTCCCCATTACCTCCTAACTGTCTCTCCTCTACCTGTAATGATTCCCCATTACCTCCTAACTGTCTCTCCTCTAGCTGTAATGATTCCCCATTACCTCCCAACTGTCTCTCCTCTACCTGTAATGATTCCCCATTACCTCCTAACTGTCGCTCCTCTACCTTTTATGATTCCCCATTACCTCCTAACTGTCTCTCCTCTACCTGTAATGATTCCCCATTACCTCCTAACTGTCTCTCCTCTAGCTGTAATGATTCCCCATTACCTCCTAACTGTCTCTCCTCTACCTGTAATGATTCCCCATCACCTCCTAACCTTCTCTCCTCTACCTGTATAAGAGTCCCCATTACCTCCTGTCTCACCTCTACCTGTAATCAGGCATGTTTCAGCTGAGCGTACATAATTTATCACAGGCTTAATGACATGGTAGCTTCTCACATGAATGACCCTTCTCTGTCTCGTAGATACCATGAAGATACATTCACCGGCCAGTTTATTAGGTATATCCAGCTAGTACCGGGTCGGATCCCCCTGTTGCCTCCAGAACAGCCTGTATTCTTCAGGGAATTCCACAAGGTGTCGGAAACGTTCCACAGGGATGTTGGTCCATGCTGACACAATAGCATCACGCCGTTTCTGCAGATTGGACGGCGGTACATTCATGATGCGAACAGCCAGTTCCATCTCATCCCAAAGATGCTCTATTGGGTTGAGGTCTGGGACTGCGCAGGCCACTAAGTTTTCACCACAACCCTAATCTAGCACACCTGATTCTAATAATGAGCTGTTTGGTAAGCTGAATCAGGTTGTTACAACTGGGGTTGGAGCGAAAACCTACAGGAGGGTACCTCTCCAGGAACAGGGTTGGCGAACCCTGACCTAGACACTGTCGTGCCCAAGCCCAGGAGGGCGTCCGTTTCTGAGATAGTGGATCCGGCATGCCTGGCACCGACGATCATACCACGCTCAAAGTCGCTTAGGTCAATCGTTTTGTCAATTCTAACGTTCAATCAAACAGTAACTGAATGCCTTGATGCCCGTCTGCCTGCTTTATATAGCAAGGCACGGTCATGTGACTCACTGTCTGTAGGAGCGATCTGTTTTTGTGAACGTGGTGGTGTACCTAATAAAATGGCCGGTGAATGTACATTAATAAACAACCACAATTATACATTTGGTTTGCTGATGCAGTTAGGCATATGTTACAGCAATGTTTGAAAAGGTACCCAGTTATACTACCTCTACGTAACTCAGGCTACAGTTGAAGTCGGCAGTTTACATACACCTTAGCCAAATACATTTAAACTCAGTTTTTCACAATTCCTGACATTTAATCCTAGTAAAAATTCCCTGTTTTAGGTCAGTTAGGATCACCACTTTACTTTAAGAATGTGAAATGTCAGAATAATAGTAGAGAATGATTTATTTAAGCTTTTATTTCTTTCATCACATTCCCAGTGGGTCAGAAGTTTACATACTCTCAATTAGTATTTGGTAGCATTGCCTTTAAATTGTTTAACTTGGGTCAAACGTTTCGGGTAGCCTTCCACAAGCTTCCCACAATAAATTGGGTGAATTTTGGCCCATTCCTCCTGACAGAGCTGGTGTAACTGAGTCAGGTTTGTAGGCCTCCTTGCTCGCACACACTTTTTCAGTTCTGCCCACAAATTCTCTATAGGATTGAGGTCAGGGCTTTGTGATGGCCACTCCAATACCTTGATTTTGTTGTCCTTAAGCCATTTTGCCACAACTTTGGAAGTATGCTTGGGGTCATTGTCCATTTGGAAGACCCACTTGCGACCAAGCTTTAACTTCCTGACTGATGTCTTGAGATGTTGCTTCAATATATAAACATAATTTTCCTTCCTCATGATGCCATCTATTTTGTGAAGTGCACCAGTCCCTCCTGCAGCAAAGCACCCCCACAGCATGATGCTGCCACCCCATGTTTCACGGTTGGGATGGTGTTCTTCGGCATGCAAGCAACCCCCTTTTTCCTCCAAACATAATGATGGTCATTATGGCCAAACAGTTCTATTTTTGTTTCATCAGACCAGAGGACATTTCTCAAAAAAGTATGATCTTTGTCCCCATGTGCAGTTGCAAACCGTGGTCTGGCTTTTTTATGGCGGTTTTGGAGTGGCTTCTTCCTTGCTGAGCGGCCTTTCAGGTTATGTCGATATAGGACTCGTTTTACTGTGGATATAGATACTTTTGTATGTGTTTCCTCCAGCATCTTCACAAGGTCCTTTGCTGTTGTTCTGGGATTGATTTGCACTTTTCGCACCAAAGTACATTAATCTTTAGGAGACAGAACGTGTCTCCTTCCTGAGCGGTATGACGGCTGCGCGGTCCCATGGTGTTTATACTTGCCTACTATTGTTTGTACAGATGAACGTGGTACCTTCAGGCATTTGGAAATTGCTCCCAATGATGAACCAGACTTGTCGAGGTCTACAATGTTTTTTCTGAGGTCTTGGCTGATTTCTTTTGATTTTCCCATGATGTCAAGCAAAGAGGCACTGAGTTTGAAGGTAGGCCTTGAAATATATCCACAGGTATACCTCCAATTGACTGAAATTATGTCAATTAGCCTATCAGAATCTTATAAAGCCATGACATCATTTTCTGGAATTTTCCATGCTGTTTAAAGGCACAGTCAATTTAGTGTATGTAAACTTCTGACCCACTGGAATTGTGATACAGTGAATTATAAGTGAAATAATCTGTCTGTAAACAATTGTTGGAAAAATGACCTGTGTCATGCACAAAGTATAGTTTGTTAACAAGAAATTTGTGGAGTGGTTGAAAAACTAGTTTTAATGATTCCAACCTAAGTGTATGTAAACTTCCGACTTCAACTGTACATACTGTACTAGGCATGACAACGATAGTAAGAGGAGTTGAAGGATATGACACGTCCCAAATGGAGCCCTATTCCCTTTATAGTGCACTACTTTTGACCAGAGCCATATGGGCCCTGGCATAGCCACAGGAAGTAGGGTTTTTGAGGGTGCTGTGGTACCCTCTGATAAATCCAAATAAAAAAGTGCACTGGGCCTTTATTACTCCTGTATGTAGAGGACGAAAATAGTCATCAGCAGCGCGGGGAGACATATTTTTTTAAGCACCCCCAACTTCTAAACATCTTCCTACAGCCATGGGCCCTGGTCAAAAGTAGCACACTATGTAGGGACCAGGGGGTATGAAAAAAATAAAATAATGTATGCACTAACTAACTGTAAGTCGCTCTGGATAAGAGCGTCTGCTAAATGACTAAAATGTAATGTAAATGGAGGCTGCTGAGGGGAGGACGGCTCATAATAATGGCTGGAATGAACCATGTGTTTGATGCATTTGATGCCATTCCACCTATTCTGCTCCAGCCATTACCATGAGACCATCCTCCCAAATTAAGGTGCCACCAGCCTCCCGTGGTAAGGAATATGGTGCAGCATAAAGCTTTTAGTGGTATGGCACCAACAATCACCAGTGTATTTACTAAGCGTGTTAGGAGTACAGTACAGTGTTGTGGATGAAGTCATTCTCAGGAGGTGAATAGGGTCTAAACAGATCGTCTAATCAGGGCTGTGGTTTGAGACAGAGACTGGTGGTAGACCACGGCGGCTCTACCTCCCAACCACACAGCCCTGGCCTCAGCGATGGTCTTGTTGTTCACTGTATTATTGATGTGGAGAGGCCTCTGGCCCTTTTCTCATGCTATGCTCTATTGAACGTTTACTCTACTGCTGAGATTGTTGCTGACACTTTTTCTAAAGAAAGGGAGAGCCCCCCCCCACCCCCCCTAGCCTGCTCTCCTGAAGCTCCTAGTGTTGTTTATATGGAGAGGCCTCTGGACATGGAGGAGGTTTCTGGGGTCTTAGGCTAGTCCTGAGAATGGAGTGTGTTGTATTAAAGAACCATTAGGCTTAGCCTGAGTGCCAGTCTGTTTGTGCTATCATGCCAACTCCTTGTCATGCCAAACAATAAGCAATAGAGTTGGCAAGAGCACACACAGATCTGGGACCAGGCTAGGAGAGACCCAACCTGTTAGATTGCAGTAGCATGCTAAGCTGAAAGAGCTGGTGAACACTGTTCTACCTGATCTGACCACCAAACTCAACTACTATACAGTATATCGATCGTATTGGTTGTGTGTGTCTCTGTGTGTGTGTCAGGGTCACCCGTCGCAAAGCCTATGTTTAGAGCTGTTATTCAGGATGGGTGGCATTCATCACATCCTAAATGACAGATAGGATGCATCCTCTCTGTCATTACCTTTGCTGGAGAATACACTGCATAGTGAATAGTATACATTCTCTGCAGATATTCTCACACATATACATGTAGGGTACTTCTACCATGCTGCATATGCTAATGACATCCTTTAAACTGGTTGAGCAAGGGGATGGAGGAGGTGTTGAGTTATTTTAGTCTGATGGACAATTACATCTTGTCAAGGTGTTATGTCATGAGGTGTGTCTGTGTGCGTGTGTGTGTTGGTTTGACTTTGAAAATAAATTACATTTCGGATGACATTTAAACTGCCATAATTTGCAAAAAATATCAGATGCACTCAATCATTTAAAAGCTGTCCTCCTTTAAACAGTTGGTGTCTCAAGTACCTTGTAATTAACATAGTTTGAAATGTTGTGTAGTTAGAATAAAAAATAAAAATAAACATACTATACAAATGAGATGTTTTCCTGAAATGTTGTTTTGGTCTGTTTCTGGTGCTTGGTCAGGTAATGTCACTTGTCTCACTGCCCCTCCCCCTTTCCTCCTCCCCTCCCCCTTTCTTCACCTCTCCTCCCCCTGTCCTCCTTTAAATGGTTGGTGTCTCAAGTACCTTGTAATTAACATAGTTTGAAATGTTGTGTAGTTAGAACAAAAAAATATATAAAAAAATAAACATACCATACAAATGAGATGTTTTCCTGAAATGTTGTTTTGGTCTGTTTCTGGTGCTTGGTCAGGTTTTGGTCTGTTTCTGGTGCTTGGTCAGGTTTTGGTCTGTTTCTGGTGCTTGGTCAGGTTTTGGTCTGTTTCTGGTGCTTGGTCAGGGTTTGGTCTGTTTCTGGTGCTTGGTCAGGTTTTGGTCTGTTTCTGGTGCTTGGTCAGGTTTTGGTCTGTTTCTGGTGCTTGGTCAGGTTTTGGTCTGTTTCTGGTGCTTGGTCAGGTTTTGGTCTGTTTCTGGTGCTTGGTCAGGGTTTGGTCTGTTTCTGGTGCTTGGTCAGGTTTTGGTCTGTTTCTGGTGCTTGGTCGGGTTTTGGTCTGTTTCTGGTGCTTGGTCAGGTTTTGGTCTGTTTCTGGTGCTTGGTCAGGTTTTGGTCTGTTTCTGGTGCTTGGTCGGGTTTTGGTCTGTTTCTGGTGCTTGGTCAGGTTTTGGT